GCCTCTTTTGTTTTATGTTCTAGTTGAAATTATCCCTTGAAAAAAAAATTTTTTTTTTTAATAGGAAAAAGCCAAACTGCTTCTGGTTCTCGTCTATCAAGAACCAAAGTGCAAGCATTTTCCCAGCTTATATCTGCAGTGGCTGTGCCCCAGACAAACCGCAGCAACCTCTTCCTGAAGTCAATGCAAGCTAATGCCAATCCCATGTCTACACCGCTTGCTGCTACCAGTCCCACCTGGTCTTTTGAGCTCAGAGAATTGCCTTCTAATTCTGAGTCACTGCTAGCTCACTGTCAGAAACCAAGCCCGTATACGTCAATTCATTCATCAATTCTTTGATTTCTCCACAACTACCCACCCACCTTACCCACCCACACTTCACTTGGTCTTCTCCTATGCATATCCATAGTGAATCACAGCTCTGCTTTTCCATTCTAATGATGTTTATTCAATGACCCAGGCTGCACCACACCAGCCCCAAGGAGGAATTAACATGTGTACCCACTTACAGTTGAAAGGATGGCTGCCATTTGTAGAATCTGAATATAACGAACTGTTATTTATTCCCACTCAAGCTTAATTTTGAATCCAGGTAAAGGTCTGCTTTCTCCACTCTTATATAACCCAGGCAGAGCTTTGTCCTTTTGTGATGCAGTGTGAATCCAAGAGGGCTCTGCCAGCTTTCTTTACATCACTGTCATGATTTGATGTTAATGACGCCAGGCAACACTGTGATCATATGTCACAAGGTCAGCCATGGCCATTGTAGGAAACAGTTCCTAAGGAGCACCATACACTTGAGGATTGTGAAGCTGACCTGGTATGGGGCTTTTTATTTCTGGTCTTGTTGCATTTCTGACAATAATGATAATGGCAACAATACTAGCTACTATTTTTATTGTCATTACTTAGTATTTGCTTAGGATGCTTGTTTTTAGTATTGGAGGTAAGATCTAAAGTCTCTTATGTGCCAGAAAGCGCTGTACTACTGAGCTCTATCTCTAGCACTAGGGTGCCCTTTTGGACTGACAAAAAGTAGTTCCTGCACCATCTAATGCTATATCACTTGCTTTCTTTGTGAATGGTCAATGAGCACACTCCACTCCCCACCCCACACATAAGAACTGAAGACTTTCAGCAAGGGATCACACGGAAGACCCACCCCCCAAATGCTTGCTTCTTGGTTTACACAAAACTGGGGAACAAAAACATCAGCAAGAGCCCCCTGGTTGTTGTCATGTTAATGTCCAAAGGCTCTAGAGCAGTGCGTGCAGTATGACACTCCGTGTTCTATATGCCAATAAGGTGTGACTACTGCACCCATGGAATACAGCTGGCACAACAGTAGACTTGAGGCCTTAGCTGTATTAATCTTAATTAACTTCAATTTTTTATTTTAAAGCGAGAGAAAAAAAAGAAAAGCAAAATAGCAACAACAAAGACAAAAACAGAACAACACAAAAGCAATAAAAAAGGTCAGAATTTCAAAATAAGTGACAGGAAATTAACTATGGTTGTTATATTACACATTGTTATCTTCAGTGAAGCTGCTCAGATTACCAGATGTAAGAAAGCAAGATTGATCAAACAATTAAACATTAACTGTTCCTTTCAATAAATCAGTAGAATTAGTAATAGTTATCTTAGCTATCATACCTATTTCTATATCTATATCTATATTTATATCTATATCTCACTTCCTTGTCTCCTTTTCCCCCTCCCAGTTGTTCAGTTAACTTCAACTGAAATAGCCGTGTGTGGCTTGTGGCTCCTTTATTCAATGCTGCAGCTATAGCTACCTGGACCTACTCTACCATCTCAGGAGTTTTCACCTACTTCCCTAAAGATATGAATCTGATCATCCCCCAAACTCTGTTTCTGATCGAACACCCGAGAATGTGTGTGGAAAATTAGCAAACTCTTCTAAGGGTGCCACTGTCACTGTACCTAGAGAAAAGGCCAAGTGGCTTCTCAGAGAAGAGGGGCAGGCTGCTCCACCACCAGGGGTCACTGAATTGGGAACAGAGTCCCCAGGGGTTGGGATGAAGCCACTCCAGGCAGCTCAATCACAAGCAAAGAGCTAAAAAAAGAAATTCTGAGTGGCTTGAAAGACTATCTTGAAAAACAAAACCAGTGGAACGAAACCAGTGGGTGTCTTGTCAGCCTGGAGCAACCATTACCACTAGCCAAAAAAACAGAACTAATTACTGGCTTAAAAGGAGAAGAAAAAGGAGGGGGTTAAAGAAAGAGCGAAAACAACTAAAGCAGAAAATATCTAAGGAATGCCAGCAGTTTCCAGACCCTTCTGTGCAAGCGGCCTGTGTTTGATACTTCACGGGGCTCTTTCCTCCCGCTCTCCACCTTTTTCCATCCGCGGTGTCTGGGTCCTGATGAAGACCCTTTTTTCTGACATTTAATTCTGCCTGTTTACCTGTTGAATATGGGGGTGCAGCACATGGTATTCCTCTGTTCGGTAGGAGAATGGTCTCCCTCTTGTGGAGTGACGGTGTGGGCAGCACGGTGGCTTTCAGGTTGGCCTCTGCCTCACGAGCCACTCTGAACCCACTAGCAGCCGCCCTGCCCCTAACCAAGTACAGCTGCTTCCTCTCTCCCAACTGCCCCTCAGGGCCTCATTTTTTTTCTTTTTTTGAAGAAAGGACCACCCTGAACAGAAAGGGCGTTGTAGCTTCTGCCTCCAGTTTTTTTTTTTTTTTTGTAAGCACAAGCAAAATGGAAAATACAGGAAATGGATTTTAAAATCATCAGAGGACAGAGGGAAGGCCCTGAGAACGATATTATGATTTTATTTCCCGGAAGGATGTTACAAGTGCTCCTTTCCCAAACTTTGGAGATTCCCCTGGAAGAGGAAAATAATTGTTTTCCTTGTCAATATCTTAAGGGAGGAACAACACTAGATGTAGCAGTTCCGTATGGGCCTAATTTTCTCTGTCCCCATCCATTCAGCCAAAGGTTGGAATTCTGCCTGCATTGAGAGCTCGCTGGGAAAGGCCCTCTCCAAGCGCGGGCTGTAACCCATCAACCAGGGCAAGGACAGACACTGGAATTCCACCCAGTAGCCAAAGGCAGCGGCGGGGGCATCAGGTGTGGGGGCGGCACGGTGGAAGGGCAATGGCAGTACAGGCCAGGGTCAGAGGGAGGCAACATAAGCTCCTCCAGAAATGCCGTTCACTTGCTAATTTGTAGCCTTGGATCCAGGGCAGAGCTGCCCTCAGACACCTTTAGAGATAATTTGCTTAGAAGAGCGCAAGGGAGGAGACCAGAATTATTAGAAAGAACCAGAAGTATTAGAAAGAAGATGGGCACTGGGTCAGAGCTAGTGATTTGCCCACACCACAGGGAGACGGCTTACACAGCCCTCTGTTCTCGGTGCCTCTGCAGACCTGTCCCTTGCACACACTCTTCCCAGAGACCACCAAGCACCCCCTAGACATGATGTGTGATACACACACACACACACAAACCTTCCTTGCATTCGGATAAAAGACGGGGCCTGGGAAAAACCACCAATTAATTGGATGCAGTCTCAAAGGAGAGGAAATGAAATGAAAAATCTAGGCTGAGTTATAAAAATAAGTTTTTTTTTTTTTTTTTTTTTTTTGCCAACATGCAAGAGGCTCATTATATTAATTAAACATTATTGCAGCGAGTGAGAGGGGGAGGTGATCAGGGCTGGGACTAGGTAAGTGTTCTCTCCTGTGCCCCAGGCCGAGGCCTGCTCCGACACTAATCTCTCTGAGCACTCAGATGCTGAAGAGATAAACACTTGAAATATGAAAATGTTTTTCTTCAGAGCAGACTGCTGTGACCCTCCGGAAACCGAGTGTGGGCTGTGTCAGGAGCCCGGCCTCAAGTGCTCTCCTCGTGTCTGTCCCTGGAAACAGGGATGGTGTTGGCCCTTGGGGTGAAGCGTAGAAGAGGAGCCACTTCCCCCTTCTCTTTTCTAGACTTCGCCCATACATGCTGGCAACATTTGGTCTCCTAAATTTCCCTTCCTTTTCAAATGCTGGGGGACCCAGGTTGGGGTTGTGGAAATTTTTTTTTTGTCTCTTTGACACAGGGTCTCACTATGCAGTTCAGGTTGGCCTTGAGCTCACTTTATAGCCCAGGCTGGTCTTGAACTTGTAACGATCCTCCTACCTTTGCCTCCCAAGTGCTGGGATTACAGGCGTGTGCCACCGCACTTGGTGGTTGTGGAAAACTGAAAGAAAATAGTGGCGAGTTGGGTGGACATGCACCAGCTTGGGAAGGCCGCTTGTTAAATTTTCCAGAATTTTGCAAGCCAGTTAATTGTAATCATTGTTAAAACTAAATTATATAGTTACAATAAATTATATGGAAAACAAAAGGTAATATATACCCCAAACTCCACACCTTCTCACTATTTTAATGCATTTTCACTAGCATCTCTACTTTCAAGGTTATTTATATCTACTGTATCTGCACAATGGGAAAACATTCCATCATGCCCTATTACTGTACTACACAACTCTGTGCTGGCTTAAAATGAACCATGGGTAAGAGTATTTACACTACTGAAAGTGGCAAATGTTACCCAGGTCCTGGTTTTCTTCTAATCCTTGGGAAATTGGTTGTCAAACATTTATCAGAACACCAGTAGTACAGCATGTAACAATCAAGATAGTAAATAACTCTGGCTTCTCCCTGGTTAGAAGGGCTAAAGACAAACCAGTGCCAGGATAAGCTCTAGAGATCTGGCTTTGTGAGACCCAAAGGTAGGCTTAACAATAATTCAAGGGCTGGCAGCACTTGTGCTTCAGAGGCCAAACAGCTCTGCTAGACACAGCCATGGGCACTGCAGCTACGGGCACTGCAGCCATAGGCATGGCAGCATTTCCATCCGGGGATGTGGCTGGCTCCAAGACTGGTGATACCCTCAGGAGTATTGGTCAGATTCAAGGCCCATGGTTCTCCAATGAGTCAGCTTACACCTGTTGTCTCCTGACCTGCAGCTGGCTCACCTGGAAACGTCTGGTCGTTGGGGCTGGAGCTGCTGGTCCAGGTGCTTCTGAGCCACTTGGCATGGTCGTACATCCACCCGCAGGGCTCCTCAGGGAAATCAAAGTTGCAATTGAATCCTGAAGGGAGCTGCAAATCTTTGTCTAAAAGGGGGAGAAAAATAACCCAAAGGAAGGCAAATGAAGTGGGTCCAGAGAACAGCCACAGTGGTGCTATTTAAATGGCTGGCAAAGCCTGAGCGGAGAACAGAGAAAGAAGTGGCTCCCTTTGGCTTATTCATTTAACTCATCTTGGCGATCGCTGGCTTTCGGGTCAGGCTTTGGTCTCATCCTTCCCAGGCGTGAAAGCCAAGCCTGCCAATGGTTCCCATAGTAAGCAATTATAAATGAGGCCACCAAATGGCTTCAGGCTCTAATCAGCCTCTTCTGTCTACCCTAGAGAGCAGACAAATGTGAAAATTGCTGTTCCCTAAATGCCAGAGAAGAATGTCTCCCCAATGCCTCAGTGGAAGGCTGGCTCCCAAAAATGTACCATCTCATCTCCTGCCAACCTGGCTCTCAGAAGTGATGGCACAGCCCATTAGCATCCAGAGAGGCAGAGAGGCCTGGGAGGTTCTGGCTGGTGAAAAGAAAGTGACCTCCGAAACAAGGCAAGCTTGTTTGTTACCCTCACCTCTTTATGACCGTCTCTTATTTCAGAGGATTGGGACAGTAAGACATCTCCCCCCAGGTGGCCAATTCAACATGTCAGGAGCAAGACAAAGGGGCCAAACCAGCAGGCCACCCAGGATAGTGCTCACCAGACTGAGAAATAATTTTACGTGGTGCTGAGTTCCTCCAAGCAGGGATCCCAGGGAGGGAGAATGTTCCCCATGGAAATCAAAGAAGTGCCCACATAATGGCTTGTCCCATCTGCTTTGGAGGTTCACCTGCCTAAGCTCCAAGATGGCAACAAGAGGGTTTCTTTTGGATTCTTCCCAGCCCTAAATAGGTCCAGTATGAGCTAGTGCCAAACACACTGATTAAGTGGAGGTGCAGGAAGAGGAAATGGGAATGCAAATTCGGATGCTTGCCGGTAGTGGCCGCGCAGACAGCGGAAAAGTGCTGGGTAAAACTGGCAGCAGGGAGGAAGTGGGGTCTTTGGCCTTCTCACTTCCCTTCCCAAGGTTCCCAGAGGACAATTTCTGAGGGGAAGTTTTAGAGTGCTGGTAAGGAATCTAAAGTGGAAAACAGACTGTTACAGAAAAACTGCTCACCATGGGGCAAGGAGGCTCTCATCCGGGGACAGGGTGTTGGGACCTCAGGGGCAAGAGGCAGATTGCCAGCAGACCCGTCTGTGCCTCCCCCGGCACACAGGATATTTAACGTTTGCCCACCCCTGGCCAAAGTCAGCTTGAGTTGAGATGAAACACATGGAATCTATTACAGAAGCATCAACCTGTGGCTTGGAAAAGTCAGCCCTCAGCTCTCACATTCCCGTTCCCCTACAATTTCTGAATGTCTATTTTTCTGTTCAAAAATATAAAGTAATTCAATATTCCATAATTCTTCTGTAATGTTTACATGCATACCGTTTCTCAGGAACCAGATTCCACAAAAAGATCTTTTGCAAAAAAAAAGGGAGAAGGGTAGAACCATCAAAGAAACCTCAAATCAAACAAACCACTATAAATGATAAAATTATATTAAAAATAAACTTCAGAAATTTTTTAGCAGAACCCTTAAATTTTCCTTTGGATTGTCATTTAGCTAGAATCCCTGCCCTCAGCCTTCCAACATGCTAACTCTTCGATTCTAATATCATCTGTGAACTGCTTGGGCTTTCCAGTTTTGGCTCTCAAACTGTCTTAAACATTCTTAGAAGATTCTCCAAGTTTCCTTCTTCTCTTCATAAAACAAAAGCAAGTTCATTAAAATGTCACAGTGCTGTATTCAACTAACCCTGACCGATAGTGTCCCTCACCCACACAATACACAAAAGCACATTCCCAAAAAGCATATGCATTAAATTAGCATTTTTCAGGCATACGACTTCAGCATGTACTGTTGGCGTTTCTCCCATTTTTAACGGCCATGTTTTAGAGCCACCCGCTAGATCCAGGGAGTTCTTCACGCCCTCCGATCGCCGTGCGTGCAGGTTTCGCCTAGTGAATCACCCATCTACGTCTTTATGCCCCATATCCGTCTCCTCACCAACCTCCCCTCATTTTATTAAGGAACATTTAATAACAACCCGTGACTTAGTGTAAAACAAGGCTGTCGAATTTAAATCCCAGCCCAAAATGCCTGGTGTTCCAAAACTTGTTTGTTAGGAATGTCCTAATATTGGTGACCTGAACAGCACAATTTAAGATGTGACTTACTTTTGGGCCCTGCCAATTGTTCCTTTTTATCTAACTTGGAGATACCTAGAAGATAAAATAAAGGGAAGACAGGTTCCCCATGTGAAGAGATGATCCAAAAACAAGGATCTTCTAAGTTTGGGAGCAGGGCCGAGGATGCCTTGTCTCCGAGCTGCACTCAGGCTTAGAGCATGGGCTACTCCTGGAGCAGCATCCTTGCAATATGTCCTTAAGCCAGGGGTGGTGAATCACTAAGTCATGGTTAGCTGCAGGATTAACCTGGTTATCACACTCCTTGAGCAGAACCACCCAGGTGATTGTCAGATCTACACTAGATGGTACTGTGGAGACAGCTTAACAGGATAAAATGTCACCACTGTGAACTCCAAGGCTGGGAATGGCTTTCCTTTAACAGGAGAAGTAAGACTGTGAGGGCTGAGCTGTGAGACTTCTCGCAGGAGCTTCTCTTTGGAGGTACCTTAGGTCAGCCGGTGACCACCTGGTCACACCTATATGGCTGTTCTGGCTGTCACAATACCTGAATGTGTCTACATGGGCTGTAAAGAACCACTGCTCCAGGCCTCTGAGTATCTGTACCTCTCTGACCCCAAGTCCCCTCCCAGTCATAAGCCAGCCTCACTGTGTCTGGCCCACACTCATGTCATCGTAGGCCGTAGTGTCATACCCACCCCCTTCCTCACCATCCTCAAAGCTGCAGTTCTCTCCACATTCCGTGGCCTCCTCGTCAATGGGATACGGGGTGGTGGTCTCTTCACTCCTCACAGTGGGTCCCAGCGTCTCTACTGTGGGCTTTGAGTCTATATCAAGGCAAAGGAAGTGAAGAAGACATTAGTAGCCCATACTGCAACCCAGGAGGGGGCAGACGCCGAAAACTAAGTTTCCTCTCTAAGTGTGTGTGTCTGAGAATAAAAACAAAGGTGCATGAGTGCACAGAACTCTGAGGTCACCTTTGGTGTGGACAAAGCCAGGAGCATCGCCTGCCTGAGTTGAATAGAAACGATCTAGAGCTGCAGAAGCAGCTGTGAAAAGAGGCATGAACACAAATCCATGCATTTGACTGCACAGCCTGAAGGCCTTGCAAGGCCATAACAGAGATTCATGAGGCAGACCCCAAAGCAGGGTGACCTTGCTCTGGGTATTCTGTTTAGGACAGAAGTGTGGGCAGCACACACTCAGGATATGAGTGATGCATGTCAAAACTGGTTTGGAGAGTTCAGTGTGGAAGGAAGCACACCCACTGCATGGAGAATGGTTGCGTGCTCCAGTCCTTCTGGCCTCTGGCACGCCTTCCCTGCTCAGTTCTGCTGTCACACCAACTGATCTCTTTTCACAGCCTCCACCCAGGCAGACAGGACTATTTGGAACTAATGCTAACCCTAAAAGCTGTTCTGACCTTTGGGGCCCACCTGTAATAAGACAGTCAGAAGCAGTATCGCCAAGGCCATAAGCAAAATCCAGCATCTTGGGAAGTGTGAGCCCAGTCTTTGTGTTTGCACAAAACTGTATGGGTAGGAATATGGGCTTAAAGGGACTCCAAGTCTGCTCGGGGAGAGTAATTTGGAGCTGTGCCTTTCGGTTAGGGGGTGGCAAATTCAAATGCTTTCAGGATCCAAATAGCTACTGCCAGTCCAGGAGGTAGACTGGGCCAGGAAGATAGTAAGGTGTGGTGGGAGCTGGGGCAGCCAGGATCTTGCGCGCCTGCTTGAAAGGAGGCCACCATTATTGGTTCCAGCAGACTGAGGCTTCTCCATGGAGGAGGCAGCTTAGCCACACAGAGTAGCGCAAAGGAGCATGAAATGAGGGGAACAATGCACTGCGCAGCCAGGTCTTCCAAAAAGATTCTTCCCCCACAAGAAGTCAAAAATCCCTGCGTCAAATCTACAGGCTCATAAATGTTGGCAGCTTGTTCAAAATGTTACAATAAGCACACAATAAAACCTGGTGAGGGCAACCCTGGCTGCAGGCAGTTGTTTTTGACCTGGGCTCCAGGTGACTCATTCATCCATTCATTTGCTTATTTGTTCACCCCAGACATTCATTCAGCAGCCGTTTGGGAAGTGAGTGGAGCTGTGAGTCAGGTCCTGGGTGCGGTGCAAGAATTCTGGAAACTGGTGCTCAGGCCTGCGTGTTGTAGGGTGGTGTCCTCCCTCCACAACTACCCTCCAACCATATGGCTCAAGGCAGTCGGTGGATTGTTTCTCCCATTTCTATACATGCTTTTTGTGCTACTGTATGTGGTTAGGTGCCTTTGTCAGTAGACCCTTCAGGATACCATCTAATAGAGCTAGGAGTTGGAGGAAATTGCCAAATATGCTGAATAGCTTTTCATGGTTGACTTTCCACCGTTCTGCTATTAAATACTGTGCACACAACCTTTCATACTTTGCCCTGTCTGCCTCTTGCTCAAAGTAAATAGCAAATAACCTCGAAGCATCCTAATTTGTAAGTTCAATTTTGTCGCTGTGTCATAGAATCTCTTTTTTTTTTTTTTTTGCGGTACTGGGGATCAAACTCATGACCTTGAGCTTGCCAGGCAGGTGCTTATGACACTGAGCTATATCCCCAGCCCATGTGTCATAGAAACTCAATTATAAAGCCAACTATGATGGGTCTGGGAATTTAGCTCAGCGGCAAAAGCGCTTGCCTGGCAAGTGCAAGGTCGTGAGTTCGGTTCCCAGTACCGGAGAAAAACCAAAAAAAACAAAAAAACAAAAAAACAAAAGCCAACTATGAATGGCAAAGAAAGAAGTAATCATCTGAAACCAAAGAAGTCAACAGATGAAGAAGCAGCCTTGTCGAACTGTTTAGTTGTAGCGGCTCAACCCATCTCCCATTATTTTTTCTGTTATCTTTTTTGGGGAAGGAATAAAGAAGGGAGTAAAAAATGAGTTGCAGAAATAGATGGAAATTTGAAAAATAACAACAAAAAAAGCCACAGGACTTAAGGGGAAGAGTTTCCTGAAATGTTGGGTAGCAAGAGGGTCAGCTGCTTAGTGGAGATAAAGTTAAATCCAGGGGCACTGGTGGCCAGCAAGGTGACAAGAGGGCAAGGTGTGTAAATGAAAGAGGAGAAACAGCAGACGGCCCCTGTGCCCATGTATTTGTACCTGGTGCTCTAGAGTAACTGCCCATCAAACGGCAGCTTTCTCTTGAAATTGAAACCAGATGTCAGAGGCTTCAAAGGGAAGGAGGCTGGGCAAGAGGTAACGCGCTTTAACTCTGATCTTCCCACAGCCAGGCAGGGCTTTGAAATGGGAAACCTGTTACTACCACCAGTGCCATTTGGGGCAGGTTGGGGTGCAGAGAACAGTCAGGGACAGAAATCATTAGTAACTGTTCAGCTAGTCCTAGAGCTGGGCCAGCCCAGGAAGAAAAAGGGTTGGACAAAGGATTGGAGGAAATCACAAGTTGGTGCCTGCCTAGCCAAGCAACCTCTGGCAAGTGGCTTCTCTCTAGGCTCAGTTTCCCCATCTGTCCTAGCTCTATGATTTTATTTCAAACTGTGTGTCACTTGTGTCACTCTGGTCAGTAGGTTGTGGAGTCCCTTTAATGGGTCATGACAAGCATTTTAAAAATAGGAACTATATTATTTCAGAGTGCACCAGCAGGTAAGGAGGAGCACTGCTTTGGGAGCCTTTTGCTCCCATCACATTTACCTAGAACAGGCTTGCGAGGCTGCAATCTAAGTACTTCACATTCATGTTTTTGTGTAATCCTCATAACAACCCAAGGGGTGTAGATCGACTATTACCGTGTCCGTTTTCCTGCTGAGACATGAGTCCCTTGTCTGAGCTTATACAAGCAGCAAAGGCAAGGACTTTAGCCATCTGTGTCTGGAGTACAAATACTTGACCAGATGCCGTACTCCATGTGCACACGTGTGTGCGGTTGGTTCTAGGTAAAGAGAGTAGTAATATTTTAAATTGTGGGTCATAATCAAACATATTTGGAGCCCATTGGCCTGGACTTTCTGCTACCCTACATTGCTGACTCCTGAGTCTAAGGTGGCTACAAATTAAGGCAGTTTGTATGAGGTGGGGTTCAGCACCTGGGAGCCCTGTGTGTTCGCTGCTGGAAGTTTGGCCTCACCCTGCATAATGAGAAACAAGTGTCTCCCCATAGGATGTCTTTTGGCAGACGTCTCTGATGCCCAAGTGAGAGGTGCTAACTTGGGCCTGGTTCCTGGGTTGTGTGTCTTACTGGGGCCCTACTTTGCCCTCATAGCTGGCTCACAGGCAGTTATTTTCTCCCTGGGAGCCAAAAGCACTTCTCGGCCATGCCCTTATTAATTCTTCAGGCCATCCTGCTGGGTGAGCTGGTGATAGGTAAGCAGAGATAGGAAAATAGGGACACCTGGGGCCCTGATGGGGAGGGGTAGGCTGGTTCAGTCCGCTGGCAGCTCCTGCCATACTGGGCCAAGCCCTGAGATCCAGGTGGCTCCAGAGGGTTGGGTGAGTGAACTCTGGGAGAGATCTAGTGCCAGGGCTGCTGTGGGAGGTGGAGAGAGGTGGGGCCTGACTCAGAAGGCAAGGGTGGGCAGCTTGGCTGGCCACACCCACGGGAAGAACTCGAGGCTCTGCTCCAGGCCTGAGCCACCTGGCTGGGTGGGAATGAGCAGGGCTCCAGCTGCACACTAGGAAGAAGTCCTGTTCCCATCCGCTCTTCTGCAGCAGGGCTCCTCCTGCACAAATAAATGCCTTTTACAGATGTGGCTTTGCAACGAAAGGGCAGCCTCTGAGCTACTGACATCTGGAGGCCAGATTCAGACATAAACTGATTACTGTATTATCATGAGGGGTTTTTTCTTCCCTAAACCAACAGCCACGGCCCTCTGGCCTGAAGAGTCAGGGTCTAATTGAATTTGGGTGGGTAGTGTGTGATTATGATTTGTTTTTGAGAGGGCTTGGGTTGCAGAACTGAAGTGATCCTTTAAAAAAAACAAAGCATATGCTCTGAGAAACTGCTCAAGTCCAGAAGTGTTTGAGAACATTGGGCCATATCGTAATGTCTGCAGTCTCCAACTGATAGGGCTTCTGCATGGGTGTCCCCACCACCACCCTGGCCGTTCTGGGATGTGGGATCACAAGATCACATGAGGGACGTCTGGAGAAGAAAGCAGCTGTACCTGTCCAGTCACAGCCCAGCACCTCCAGCCGCATCCCGATGCCCGCCGGTGACCAGCGCTCTGGGTATACACGCACGTACTGGGCAGGGACAGGGTCAAATCTTCGGATGTCGGGGCTGTCATAGTGCACGTTCCCTTCAAACAGCTGCAGAAAGACAGGTTGCTCAGGCCTTTTTTGGGTATGATCCCACCCCACCTGCCATCCATGCCACCATCTCCCACCCAGACGGTAACTTCACGGTTGACTTCATGGGACATTGCTATCCACGGGAGTTTCACACTCACACCAAGGTTCTTACCTTGGCAAGGTCACAGGGACCCAGAAATGTGGAAAATATGAAGCAAATGAAAGGGGCAATTGTCAGGGTGTGTCTTTTTATCCTGGGCAGGACATTAAGTACTCAGGAAAGAATTAGGCTCCAAAGGTGTGTGAAGCTGACCTTGCTAAAAGAGCAAAAGGCAGTTGTAGGCTTTCTTGACTGTTTTGAATTCTTTGGTCTATTGAGAAAGAAATTCCTCTTTTTCTAATGCTTGAAAGTCTACCCTTAGTAAATTCCATTGGTCCATAGTTCCTAGTTCACTGAAAACCTAAAGGGAAACTAATCGCTCTCTCCCCGAGGCTAAGGACTGATTCCTCTGTTCACACATTGATGGCGGAGACTATCTCAAGCCTTTGCTTATTCTATCAGAAGAAATCTCAGTTGAGTCCCAGTGTGGGCTGCCCTGGTTGAATTAGTGGCTATTAGATTACCCTCCAGAAATATAGCAGGACCAGCCAATCTGTAAAACGCCTGGGTCCTCAGTTCCATAAGAGGAGCACTGTCTTGAGCAGGACGGGCTCTCATCTTAGGCAACATCACTTCCTTTTCTAAAGAATCAGCTCTCCTGGGCAAGCTGGTGGCCCAACTTCTGCTCCATTCACCAGAGGTTCTAGTTACCAAGCCCCCAGTCTTTCTGAGCCTCTGGAATTGTGAATTGGGAGTTTACATCTGCACAATGAAGCTTCCGACTCAGCCCTGGCTTCTGCATTTGGAATGGAAACTTTTGCTTAGCTAAGGTTGCTGACCAGAGACACAAAACACCCTTTCCTTTTTAGGAGATTTGCTCTTCTGAAGATGAGAAGTAATTCCAGAATGAGCATTAGAGAGGCTGGCCAGATTCATTAGCTATGAATCTAAAGAAAGACAGAGGCCTCGTGTCCTCTCCACGCCTCAGGGCTCTCCTCACACCCTGGCTGGCTGTCACTTTTCTGATCACAAGCGTTGGGATTAACTGTTTTTCTTGCTTCTTCCCAGTGTCAATATGAGAGGCAGGAAAGACCTAAGAAGCCAGGACTAGGAAAATACAAAGGGGGGTAATAACACTCAGAAAAGGTTATTTTTGGAAGCAAACCTCTAGCTTCTACAGTTTGGTCTCCAGCAACCACATCCCCTTGGGATGTCTGGCCAACTTTATCTGAAAGAAGGTGAAAAGGATCTTGAACTTTATAAACAGGCAGTGTGGAGTAGTGGTTAGGAGTCTGGATTCTGGAATGAGATTTATGATTTCTGAATCATGGCTTGACTCCTGGTAAACCTGTGACCCTGAGTATGATATCATGTCTCAGTTTTATCATGTCTAAAATTGGAGTGACAGAAGGGTTGATCTTGTAGAGGTGCTACAGGGAACTGAAGGTCTAAATAAGGTACTACGCATAGTATCTGGCACCAAGCAGTCTCTTAATCCACATTTGTTTCACTGTGTTGCAGGAATTTGATGTGGGCATATCAAGATGGGAAATCAGCACACCCAAACTCCCTGAACCCAGCTGAGCTTCCCTATTGGAGGTGGCATTAGTACACTCTAGGGATGGCCTACCTTTGGTTGCTGTGTCCTGGGGTCTGGGATATATTCCCAGTCTTTGCCGTTCAAGCTGTAGGAGACTTTGAACTTGCGCACAAATGCCCTGGCTTCCACTGCTGTGCTGCTGTCTCCTCCACGGGCGCCCTGGATGATGACGCCTTTGACCATCTTGGGTGCTCCCAGGTCAACCTGCAGCCACTCTTCACCTGGCTGTGCCTGAGGGATCCGAGGGAACCAACCCGAACGGCTGCTGACCAGGCGGGCAGCACTGGGGCTCCAGAGATATTCGCGGGTGGAGGAGGCGGAGATCTGGGAGTCAGGAATGAGGCCTGAGAGCATTCCCAGCATGTTGGAGCAGGGGGCATCTGCAGAGAAGGAAGGAAAATACCAGAGGGGTCATGGCTGGCTCTTACCGACTGGAGACCACTTCTTGGCTGGAAGCTGCAGGAGGAACCAAATTCCCTATGTCTAAAAGGGAGCTAAGAGCAAGACTGAGCACTTGGGGGTTGTAGTGAGGATTTTCTTGGTTGCTGTAGAGTAGCCTTTAGGACAGTGCTGGCTTATGGAAGTATCTAACAGCTGTGAGTTGTTTATATTTGTGGCTCTGACCAAGGACTCTCGGAACGTATGTTTGCGTGTCTTTCCCGTGACACCAGTCCTTGCTGACCCTCTCAGCAACAACGAGTGGAGAGGAGCTCAGTTCAGCACGGTGATCAGGTAGACGGAGATCTGTCTGGAGTTAGCATCTGATCTTTCCTGCCATACGAGTTATCACATTTCTTGGTTTCCCACAGGCTCTTACCGCTACTCCAACAGCCCTTCCGCTCCACCATCCCTCAACTAACCTTTAGTCACCCCAAGGTATAAATGTCATATCCTTAGAAAGGCTGTCCCTAAACTTTCAGTCATAGTAAATTAGAGCCTCTCAGGAATCCTTCTCAGTGTTAACTAAATCCTTGTTAATTAGCCTTTGCTGGCCTGGAGCAGCTTCATAGAAGGGATGGGAAACAGTCCTCTAGATAGGATTAGGATAACCTGCTCCCCTGAGAGGTAAGCCGGGTCTTTGTGTAAATGTGATAATGCAGAGAATTCGTGTTGAGAAAATACAAGTGGAGGTCCTGGCTTGCCAGGCCTAGTTGGGTGCTTTGGGCCAAGGTATTCCTTCCTGAGTCTTGGCTTCTGCATCAGCCCCTGCCTCCACTGGACTGCTAGGTAGACTAGGCAAGATAATGTACAAGAAAGGGGGGACAGTGATGCAGACATTGTCTGCAGGCATGGGCCATGCCCTGGAGGCAGAGCCACAGGACCAGGAGGTGGACAGGTGGAAGAATGGACACAGAACACCTTCCCATGACAAAGAAGCAGAGCCCACAGGATGGAGTGGATTGTGCTGTCCACAAAAGGCTCGCACTGGTTCAGCCACCAGTGCCTTGCGTCAGCACCATGTGCCAGCCTCCCAAAGTTCCCAGCTCCACTCTCGTCCTTGCCTTGCATTTCAGCCCACACAACATGCTATTGTCCAGCCTTATGCACTCCCTCGTCCTTCTCAACTCAGTGCCACTGAGCCAGCTGTGGCCACTGCCTGGTGCATTTCCCTTCCCGTAACTGGGTAGTGCCTGTCTGCCCTCCGCCCTGGCTTCACATCTCCTCAGGGAAATCCTCCTGAGCCCCAGGCCAGCTCCTCTATGATGCACATCCAGGTCTGTGACCCTCAGTTCCCAGAGAGCATAGTTTTGATTTTGCATGTAGCGACGAGGTTGCCTGTTTATTAATTTGTCTGCCCATCAGCATTGGTCCACGTGTCCACACAGTTGGCCTGCTGCCTTTGTCACTGTGTCCGCAGGGCCATGCATAGTTCTTGAACCCCAGTTAAGGCAGCAAAGAGAGCTATTTTAGAGCAGAAATTTTGGGCTCAAATCTGGCTCCACTTACTGGCAGGGTAAGCTGCTCTTCTAACTCTTGGTTTCTTCATCTGTAAAATGAAGAGGATAATACCTGCCTCAGAGAGTCCTTATGAGGACAAAAGATGACACACCTGAGGTGAGAATGGAAACTGGTGCGTCGTTAGCAGATAATACATTTTAGTTAGTAGAAATAGTAGATGCTTAATAAAAGCATACTGGATGATCCTAGCTCTGTGGAAAGCTGAGGCAGGAGGATTGAAGTTAATCCCAGTTTGGGCAACTCAGCGATTTAGCAAGATCCTGTCTCAAAGTAAAAAATACAAAAAGGGCTGGAGATTAGCTCAGTGTAAAGCCCCTGGGTTCCATTCCTTGTACTGAAAGGAAACAAAAAGAAGCAAAACAATGACAACAACAACAAACACACATGATGAATGAATGAATGAATGAATGGATGAATAAATGAATGAAAACATGAAGCCAGATGGGACTTGAGTCCTTGAGCAGTCCTTTCAGGAGCATGGGGTGCAATCCTGCCCTTTCCGGAAGAGGGAGCAGAGCCCTGGACAGAAGCAGCTCCTGTGTCCATGGGGCACCCGTCTCACCTGTGACCCTGCAGCCGAAGAGCTCCAGGCGCAGGGCGATGCCCGAGTGCCAGCTCTGAGGGCGGATCCGGACGAACCTCGTCAGCAGCGGTGTGTGCAGCTTGTTCAGAACCACCTCGGAGGCGTCGTTGTTGGCTTGGAACACCTGGAGATGCATCAGAGCGCGTTACTGGGATTTGCCAGGATCCCTGCATGTAGGGCAGGGACTTGAGCAGCCTCAGAAGGGATGGGACAGTTCTGTTGGGCTTTATTTTTGTCAAGCTTAAAAAATAATCAGTGGGCTTGTTATTCTGGGCTTTTTCAGAAGCACTGTGAAAAACATTTTAATTTCTCACACTGCTCCAACTTGAAAACAATAAATGGTCCTCATAAAAACTTTTGGAGGGAAGGAAATTTTTGCCTCTGGGCTGAGAGCAAGCAGAGGAAGGAGTCTTGGAAAGCAAAACACTTCAGAAGTGAAGAACGAGACAAGGAAAAAACAGAATGCCCATTAAAAAGGACATGTTATCTTTTAAAGTTCATAGAGCTCTCTCTCTAGGTTGAACTTGGTACCCCCCTGGTTGAACTTGGTACCCCCCTAGGTTGAACTTGGTACCCCCCTGGCATTTTTATAATTTTAAAGTGCTTCAAAGTTGCTTTTTGACTTTTATCTCTTTTAATAAATTTATTTAGACACTTCCCCATTCCACAAGCCAGCAGTGAGGTGGTGAGGGCCACCATCCACCCCCGTGCCCCATGTCAACCAGCGTGTTCCTGGTTCCTGCTGGTCTTTGTTCTAGGGTCAGGATTTCCCTCAGAGTCCTCTCCAGCTTCCTCTCGCTGTAGCCCCCACCCTGCAATGAAATCCATCCCTGTCCCCAGCTGACCAAAATGTCTCTTATGGGAGGAAAGGCTTTTTGGAGTAGTTTCTGATCCAACATGGTAGGCGCGAGTCCTGGCTTACCAGATGGTCCAAATCAATAACTGCCATATGAACCTTATGCTTTTTTTGTGCTCTCCATTAAAAAAAAACTAGAGCAAGTATGTGTGAATTTCTCTTAATTTCCTTAATAAGGGCAAAAGGAAAAACCGACCATCATTTCTAAATCACGCCTGTGACAGCTATAACAGCCAAAGGACCCTACGTAAGTCTACTCACAACCAACTCTGCCTTTACCTCTTGTTCAAGGGAACCAAACGCTTCTGCTCATGATACCCAGGTTATGCCAAGCATTTGGGGCACTAGCTGGGTGGGGAGAAGAGGAAGGAGGACACAGGTGTATCTGAATATCTTTGAGCCAGACATTATGTACACACTATTCTTCTAACCTCCCAGGAGAGAAGTATTACTGTCTCTACTTTATCAATGAAGAAACTGAGGCTGGATCCTTGGCCTGAGCTTACTGTTTCTTAGGTTGACTTTTAACTCTTCTAATAAATTTGCATCATTTATGCAAATGGCTAGGAGCCATGGTGTCCTTAAGGGCCCCAATCATGGGCAGAATGGAAGTAGAGTTGCTGTCTACTGGTGTGATCTCAGGGTGCATTCACAGTTCCACCATGGAATGGGTTTGGGCAACAGTGAAGAGCAGCAGAGCTGCTGAGAGATGTTAACAGTGTCGACTTCTCTCCATGAACCGTGGACGCCACCATTTGGTAACTTTGAACTCTCTGTATTTCCAATGAGCGAAGACCAAAAGTTAGAGTCATTGGTAACACACTAGCGATGGTGGGGGTCAAAGGCAAGGGACACCATACATTTTGCAACCAAAGGGGGAAAATGGCTGTTCAAGACAAATAAAGAGACAGGTGTCCACAGGTCCACCACTGTTTAAATCATTGCTCTTTGTGCTCAGCCTCCCAAGGCTGGGTGTGTCCACACAGCCTGCCCTGTCTGCTGCCGCCTCTGCTCCCTGGGGAGCACCCCCACCCTGATCCCAAGGCTATCAGTGTCCCTCTGCCACCTTGCCGAGAGCAGGAAGCACAGGGAAAGGAGTCCTCTCCCAGCTTCCCTTCTGCCGCTCAGGAAGAGGAGTGAGAAGACCAGGTCATCGTGGAGGGAGAAGGGCCAGGCACTTGGAGGACAGGAGTGCTGGGGCCGCACCCCTGGGAGCAGGCCTGTGGGGAGAGGCTCTGGCCTTCATGATGCTTGTCCTGGAAAGGGTCAGCTGTGGGAGGGATGGGGCCCAGCAACGTCCTGGCTTTGTCACTTCAATTTCTTGCCTCCTTTGTAGCGACAAAGTGCTCCCCAGCTTTGAGGAAAGGGACAGAGGAATCACATCTAAAGAAAAGAGATGAATCAGTCCTCCTAGAATCCAGCACGAGACAGAGGCTTTTTTGTTTGTTTTGCTTTGTTTTGGTAAGGAAGAGACACATGCAGTGCTTTGCTGACTTCGGATGGGTGCTGAGAGCAGTGGTCCCTCTGGACACTCCCTGCGGACAGCAATGGTGACTGTGTGTGCGGCCTCTGGTGGGAGACGCTAAGGAGTTCCTCTCAGGGAAAACGCTTTATTTGCCACGTGGATATATAATTGGAGAGCTGAGTGAATCTGAACTTGCTTATTACTGCTAATCCAAAGCGTACACACCACGCTGGTACCGTTTAGAAACACAGCATGCTTTATGTGTTTTTAATATCCAATTTTATCTTATCTGACCTCTTCACTTCTCAGCTTTGACAATGAACACCCAGTACCTTTTCCTTTTCTTCCTCCTTAAGGAACCGATTGCACAGCTGAACCGCCCTTGGGAGGGGGGCTGGGGGACACCTGCAGAGAAAGGCTGATTTTCTCCATGGTTGTGTGTGGCTACAGGCTTCAAGCAAAAGCCCTCAGTCTCTGCCCACAGGGCACCAGTCATGGAGGACTCAAGCGTGGCTGCTCTCTCACAGGCATCCACCTGCAGCTCATGCTGATGCTCCACTTTGTGCATACTCCTCCCACACCAGGATCAAATAAAGACTCTGAGAAACTTGGCTTCAAGCTCTTCTTCACGTTTCTGAGTCTAGCTTCTCACGGGTTTCCGGTTTGCATTTGACCTCATGTTCAGTCTGCCCTCTGTGCCACAGACACTTGCTGAATGAACGATGCCTTTCTTAGAATTTCCACACAGCTTCAGCTCTGAGTATGGCACAGTGGACCAAAGCAAAACCCAGCACAAGCTGACCCACCAGTGAATCAGGAGCCAGGAGCCAGGCTTTGCTGATAATTAGCGCATATGGTGGGCAAGTATCTCTGTATCCCTGAGGTGCCAATTTCCCCCTTTGTTGAGTGAAAATATTGTGATATGCCTCCTCTGGCTCCCCCAATCTCTCTTCACAACAGTTTCCGTGGTTTGAACTGCTCTATAAGTGTCCACTTTACATTATATGTGCTGCCAACGCGAACACAAGCTTTTATAAGAGGATATTTTAGTTACCTGTTGTCCCTTGTAGTCTAAGTGCTCTTGTAAGCAAGTGCTGTGGATTTTTAATACACTTCAGATAGTGCCTAGAATGCACAGTGAGTGCCCCATTCACAGAGAACATATCTTGTTGGTATGCTGGCTCAATAACAATTCAAATTATTAATAACCATGAGTAATGAATAACATCACCTCAGTCCTTACAGATTGTCTTTCACCCAAAGATACCAAAGTGCAATTTATGAAAATCCATTTTAATGAAATATTAAGTAGTTTCTATTTCTCCTGACCCAATAGTCTTATAAGGTCTCTATTTTTCTCCTTGTATCCCCTATTTATAGATGGTAAATGCTATCATATATTATACATCCTTATGACTTTCTCAATGCTTCTGTGGTTTTAGAATCACCTTTCATTTGTTTTCTGATCAAATTCCCTGAGATGGAATCTTGGCTTCCAGTCTGGGCAATGCAAGGTAAGGGGTTGTATGGATGGGAAACCATGCCAGGAAATTGATTTTATTGTCTGTTCTCTGCCGACTCACTGAATGACTGCAGGCAAATCAATAAACCTTAGATACTTTGGTTTCTCCTTCAGGAAAATAAAGTCGATAATCAGGTTGCAGATAGACATTAAGTTTACCAGCTCTCTCTGCTGGCTCCAATACCTGCACAAGAGCCAGGCCAAATGCTGGAGTAGAAGCCATGTCACAAGTAACAAATGGGCCTTTAGATAAATAGGAGAGTTCAAGCTCAGAAACCCATGGGCTCCCAAGTCCCACTTTGAGACCAAAAACATTCAGGCTATAACTCTGCAGTGAGGTATGCATAAAACTCAGAAAACCAGCAGATTGTTGATGTATATTAAACCCAGATAGGCATATATCAAAAACAAAGATAGAATTTTAACATGTACATTAAACGTTGAAAGGGGTCAGGGATATCACTCAGTGACACAAGCACCTGGCAAGTGCAAGGTCTTCAGTTTGATTCCCTGATGCCCGGTATGAGAAAAAAAAAGCTGGAAGTTGGAGTTGATAAATCTTCTTATGCATTTAAAAAAGATATTAATATGGTTGCTTTCCTACCCAAAAGAAAACAAAGAGTAGGTCCAAGGTGCCCCATCTTTCTGGGGAGAGTAGTAATCATGCTGTACTTTTTAAATGTGTGCATGTATATGTATTTCTTTAAAAAGAAGCTATCTTGGGGATGGGGATTTAGCTCAGTGGCACAGCACCTGCTTGGCAAGAGCAAGGTTGGGAGTTCAATTCTCAGTACTGGAAAAAAAAGAAGCTATGTTGAACAAAAGATTTCTTCAAATGCATCTCTCCAAACCAGGTTGAAAAAACAATTCAAGGCACATAGTGGTTTGGATAATCCATTTGGTCCTTCACTGAATTCTGAACATAATCCAATAATTTCCAATTGATTCTTGAAACCTTTCTTTTATTTTCAGTAAGACAGATTCCAAAAACCAGCAGTGTTTCATGGATTTTCTGATTTGCACCTCTGGCGGGGGAGGGCATCTGCCAAGCAAACCGGCTGCTATTTGACATCCCAGTTTGGTTGTTATCTACCCCCCACCTCAAGGAAAAGATACTCAGCATGTTTTGACCATGCCCATGGATCGATAGGCTCAGACTGCATGGACTATACAAAGCAGCGTCAAATAGACATGCGTTTCTTATATAGAAGATAAAAAATACCCAGCGAGCAAGCATCCCAGATGTTTTTTGAGGTCATCTTTCCCCTTTCTCCCCCAGGC